CCGAAGTTACAGGTTAATCTAAGCCCCAACTTAATGAAGATCCGTTACCGTAACACAAGCCTATTTTTCAAACTTTCGTTGTCCGTGGGATTTGAACTCTAAACCTGCTACTTGGAGAGGGTGACAACTTGACCACTTCACTAAGCCGCCACACCCTTCTCATTCATTTATTTAACTCTAACTTGATCTATTTAACCTATTAAACTCCAATCTCAAATTAAATCTGCTCTCTCTATTTTAACTTTAACACATCCCGTTAAAATCTCTTTACCTAAATCCGAACCAATCTTCCACTTATTTATTTTCTAACCCTATCTTAGAAACTGATTCCGAACTGGAACTATTTTCCTTATTCCTAATCTTAACTCAAATCCTGCTTCATTTCTCTCATTCTTAACCCAACCTATTTAACCTATTTCTATTGCAAAATCTAGATTTGTTTTACCCATCCCAACCAATAAACCCAATTCTATTTCCTAATATTAAACCATCTTTAATTTAACCCGTCAATCTATTTAATCTCCTTTATCTAAAATTCGAATCTAAATTCTCTATCCCTTCTTAACTAAACCCAAATTCTAAATTAGACCCATTTTATTTATTCCTAACTTTAACCGAACTAATTCCTTTTTCTTAAATTCGAAACCCCTAATATATTCATAGCAAAATCTAATTGCAAGTCATTCGATAAACACCTATCTACCCGAACATTTGTTCCACGCCTAGGGACAATGATCAAAGTTTAGAGGTTCTAACTAGAGAACTCTAAACGATCCCTTAAACTTCTTCGGTCTTCACAAATGATACCTTATTGGATCGTTCCTCCCAGGAAACAAGATCATGAATCGTTATCTAACTTGTGTTCTATGAAATAATTAGAAGCTCTATGTTGATTATCTAAAAGAAAGCGGCCATCAAAGAATCCTAAGAAAAAAAGAATCTGGTTAATGCTCCGGAATGAAAAAGCTAAGTTCAAAAAAAAAAAGCCATCTGTTGGACGAGCGCTGAAGTTCCAATTTCAGCATATATCAATAATATTCGGAATACCATTCGCAGCCAAGTCCCAAGAAACCCTGACAATTCTGAAATTCTTGCCTTGGATACTAAGGCCTAAAAAAAAAAAGTAAAAGCAACAAAACAAAAATCAAAAAAAAAATGAATACATCTTTTTTTTTTTTGAAACCTTCACGTTCTATGTCATAGTTTTGGCCTATAATTTAAACCAGGTCCCGGCTTACTATATTTTCTATATTACCCTAAAGTCTTCTATTCCCATACCACACAGTCACGTCTCCGCGTTCTTGTCAGACTATGTTCCACTAAAAGCAGAAAGATCTATCAGTTCTTTTATATTAAGAGTTGAAGAACCCAGCTCTTATATATATATCTAGATTTAATTACTAGAAAAAGAACCCAGTTACACAGCTAGACATTTGGAATTAACATTCTAGCGATACTTAAATATTAGCTGGACCGAAAAAAAAAAAGAGCTAAATTAAAAGAAAAAAAACAAATAAATACTTCTTTAAAACAAAAAAATATAAATCCTAAATCACTCCAGAATCCTGAAAGTCATATACCACAATAATGTTAGAAGTCTTTGTAACCAATACCTAGAAAGACAGTATCTACAACAACTTCGAGAATGGCAACAACGACTTCAAGGACGAACGAACGACAATTCCCAATGACTCCAACTTCAAGAACAACAATGAAACATTTTGGAGCCCGAATCTGCCAGACGAAACTAAAGTGTAATCTAGTAATACAACTTGTTCAAGAAGTGTATTTGTATAACTACACACAAAAAAAAAAAAGAAAGAAAGAGCAATAGCAAGATGCAACTTATTAACACTTATACGAAAACACTGGAAACTGACGATTTCAGGAACAGACGACGAAATGCACAACACTCCAATGACGAAATCGAACAACAACGGTTCTAAAAATAACTAGAAAACAAAAAAAAAAAAAAAAAAAACTTAAAATGACAGTGTTTCAAAAAAATAATATTCTAGAAATAAAAGAAAACTTGGAATACGAATGAAAAAAATATAAAGCAAAGACTAAAACAAATATATACTTCCTTAAAAGCTTTAAGACGTCGCACGAGTATCAAAGCCATACAAATCTATTCTAACATAGAAAGATCTAGGCCCCGATTCAAAAAGATCTTAAATCTCGGCTAGTACAACGCCAAAATAACAAAAAAAAAAAAAAAAAAAAAGACCGGAAAGACAAAACCAAGTCTAGATTAGACTCAGAAATGGCAAAAGGAAACTATACTAGAACCAAGATCCTGAACGCATACCCAAGATCTACTCTTTAGACATGTCCAAGAGCAAGCGACCAAGATGAATCTGTTTCGACAATCCGTAAAAGATCCAAAGCTTGAGGTAGAACAAGACTAAATACTAGAAGTATATAACCCAAAATAAAAAAAAAAAAACCTTGAAGTAAACACAAAAGACCAAAGAGTATAAACAAGAAAATAGAAAAATGAAAAGAGTAAAAAAACCGAAATCAGTAGATGATTGGTTAACTTATTTATAGACCTCGATCACATGACCTACGTCACAAATGCCGAAATGACTGAAACTGACCCAGAAGTCTAGGAAGCTTCGATTCAAGACAAAGAAAAAGACATTATCTAAGTAATAGTCAGAGCCAGAAGACTCTAATGAAAGAAAAGAGAAAGAAGAATTGAAAGAAATAAGAATTTTCGAAGAAAATTCTAAAAGAAAATGAAAAACTCGAAAAAGCAAAATTTTTATTTTTTATTTACAAAAAAAAAATTCTAAGAAAATAGAAAAAGACAATGAAAAGAGAAACTACTCTATATATGAAAACACCTCAGCCTCTTTTTCCCTTCTCATTTTCCTTCTTTACCCTTCTTCTTTCACTATTATCTTTTTTTTTTCTCCTTCTTTCTTCCTCAAACCAATGAAGAAGATCTCAGTAAGCGGCATCACGCTTTTCGAACCAAGTCGATATCTATCTCGTTCTTCAATAAGAGCTTCTTGCTCCTGCTCCCGACGAATGAATTGCTGCAAATGGTCAAGAGCTATATGGTTGAGCTCTGTAATCATTGCAGCCTGGTCTTCTACTTGTTGCTACAACCACCTATAAATATAATATTATAATTAATAGATAATTAATTATTTAATTAACATTAAGTATTTTTTTTCTTATATATATACTTACAGAATATTATTATTATTATTATTATTATTGTAATAATAGTAATGATTATTATTATTTTCATCATCATCACTGCTGCTATCAAATTCGTGTTGAGAAAAATATTGAGACATATTTGTTGAAATGAATTGAAAATATATAGAAACAGTATAGATGATACAAAAGATAGTCTATTTATAATAGATTATTGAACACAAGAACAGGTTAAACAATTTTATTAGATTATCTATATGAACTAACAATGATCAAATTTTTAGCAATATTACTTCAAAAATATCAACAGCAATAGACAAAAACTATACATTTTATTTAGTTATTTTTATTAGAGCAATTATATTAGACAATTTTATTAGATTTTAATATTTCAAAATTTTAGTTTTGAAAATTTATTAGACTTAGATATTTGATCATTTAAAAACTTAAAATTTTTATTAATAAAATTTAAAAATTTTAAACGTATTTATTAGAAATATAAAACAGAATATAGTACAAGAAAAAAATAAAAACTGTAACAACTACAAACTATACCCAAGAAAAACCATGCCCATTTTCTAAAATACTCCGCAACGCCAAAATTTACATCTCCAAATCATCATTTATTGTCTCCAAGTCTGCAACTGAACTCTTAATCTATTTCTTTCTAACCGCAACCTCTCCAACCGAACGTCATTTTCATAATTCTGCCAAACTAGTTCAACCGGATCACACTCTTGTAGCTGTGCCTGGAGGTTCGCCACTTGATTCTGCAACCCCTGGATAATAGCTAGAACGGACTGACTTCTAGTTGTTTGTGGCATTTAAGTTTTGACGAAAGTGTCATTAGAAAAAGAATGCTTTTTCTAAGATGAATATATATAAAAAACGAGAGTATAAAAAGAAAGAAAAAGAGGAAATGATAAAGAGAAAAGTATCCACCAAGGCCATGCAATCAATCATACAAGTCATGAAAAAAATCAATCATCCAAGTATGAAGGATAGTCAGCTCACCCAGACATGGAAGACCGGCAGTTGTTTTGAAAGTGTAAAGCTAACAAGGTTTAGCACATGGTCCGAAAAGTATACTCACCTTCAACAAAGAAAACAAGAGGCAAAGACAAGAGAAGTTATCGAGAAACTAAAGAAGAAAAGAAAAGGATATTTAGCAGAAAAGTTTCTAATGTAAAGGAATTATGGAAAGGAATAGTACTAAAAAGAAGATTTGCGTGTGAAATTTTTGAAAAACCAAACACACCAAAGAACAAGAATATAAATAAGAATTAGAACAATAGTTAAATTTTCTCATGCCAAGAAAAACTATCGTATGATATAAACAAAGAAAATTATAAACAATAATGATGTGATTTATAAATTTAGAAAAAGGATGAACAATTTAGAATGCAAA